GAGAGAGTGTGAGTGTGAGAGTGTGCGTGAGTGTGAGAGTGTGAGAGAGTGTGAGTGTGAGAGTGTGCGTGAGTGTGAGAGTGTGAGAGAGTGTGAGTGTGAGAGTGTGCGTGAGTGTGAGAGTGTGAGAGAGTGTGAGTGTGAGAGTGTGCGTGAGTGTGAGAGTGTGAGAGAGTGTGAGTGTGAGAGTGTGCGTGAGTGTGAGAGTGTGAGAGAGTGTGAGTGTGAGAGTGTGCGTGAGTGTGAGAGTGTGAGAGAGTGTGAGTGTGAGAGTGTGCGTGAGTGTGAGAGTGTGAGAGAGTGTGAGTGTGAGAGTGTGCGTGAGTGTGAGAGTGTGAGAGAGTGTGAGTGTGAGAGTGTGCGTGAGTGTGAGAGTGTGAGAGAGTGTGAGTGTGAGAGTGTGCGTGAGTGTGAGAGTGTGAGAGAGTGTGAGTGTGAGAGTGTGCGTGAGTGTGAGAGTGTGAGAGAGTGTGAGTGTGAGAGTGTGCGTGAGTGTGAGAGTGTGAGAGAGTGTGAGTGTGAGAGTGTGCGTGAGTGTGAGAGTGTGAGAGAGTGTGAGTGTGAGAGTGTGCGTGAGTGTGAGAGTGTGAGAGAGTGTGAGTGTGAGAGTGTGCGTGAGTGTGAGAGTGTGAGAGAGTGTGAGTGTGAGAGTGTGCGTGAGTGTGAGAGTGTGAGAGAGTGTGAGTGTGAGAGTGTGCGTGAGTGTGAGAGTGTGAGAGAGTGTGAGTGTGAGAGTGTGCGTGAGTGTGAGAGTGTGAGAGAGTGTGAGTGTGAGAGTGTGCGTGAGTGTGAGAGTGTGAGAGAGTGTGAGTGTGAGAGTGTGCGTGAGTGTGAGAGTGTGAGAGAGTGTGAGTGTGAGAGTGTGCGTGAGTGTGAGAGTGTGAGAGAGTGTGAGTGTGAGAGTGTGCGTGAGTGTGAGAGTGTGAGAGAGTGTGAGTGTGAGAGTGTGCGTGAGTGTGAGAGTGTGAGAGAGTGTGAGTGTGAGAGTGTGCGTGAGTGTGAGAGTGTGAGAGAGTGTGAGTGTGAGAGTGTGCGTGAGTGTGAGAGTGTGAGAGAGTGTGAGTGTGAGAGTGTGCGTGAGTGTGAGAGTGTGAGAGAGTGTGAGTGTGAGAGTGTGCGTGAGTGTGAGAGTGTGAGAGAGAATGTGAGTGTGAGCGTGAGAGTGTGTGAGAGAGAGTGTGTGTGTGAGAGAGAGTGTGCGTGTGTGTGTGTGTGTGTGTGTGTGTGTGTGAATGAGGGTGTGTATGTGTGAGTGAGAGAGAGAGAGAGAGAGAGATAGTGTGAGTGTGTGTGTGTGAGAGAGCGATTTGGACACAAACCTTTTCACTACAGCAACAATCACAGTGTTGTGAGAGCAGCTGATGGCTCGAATTGAGCTGAGAAAAAAAATTGAAATAAAATGATTACAAACAACAGACATTTCAGCATTTCTTAGACACACAAACCTGCTACAGAGAGTGTGCAAAAACACATTTACATTTTCAAGCAGGTCATGTGAACACTGCATACAGTGGGATTCCAGTGGATGGTTTTGTGGATGTTGTGGATGTAATTTCTTGTGGTTAAATTGCATTTGAACTAATTATTGTTGAGAATGCAGTACATTTGACCACTCGTACTGTACGCTCTCAGGTATAAGAGTCAACTCTTCAACACTGAAGTGCTGTTCGGTTAAATCTGTATTCACACAGCCCCTGACGCTTCTCAATATTACAACTTATTTGACAGCTGAGAGTCATGTTTAAACTTTACAGTTCAAATAAACCATGTATTTCACAGGAGCGCACTAGCATACGGATGAGCTTAAAGCTAACAGACAGATTTTGATTTCACAGCTCTGTAAGATGAAGGAGTTTATGACTGGACAGATGCACACATGACTGAAGTGATCTTACAAACATCAGGACGGTGCTGGACTAAAGAATGAGATCAGCTGAAATCTGCTCACTACACAAAAATCATCAGCAAACATCTAAAGACTTGAATCCCAACGATCTGTTAATGAAGATCTTCAGCAGCAGGTACTGAAGCAGCACAATGATGTCTATAGATCCGAGAGACAGACAGATACGTACCGACAGAGCGCTTCAGCGTCAAAGTATCTGGAATGTCTGTGGTCGATGATGATCAGATCGTGGTTCTTCTCCTGAAAGCTCTCCAGCGCCGCTTCCGGCGTTCGGGCCACATTACACCTGAAACCAGCGCGTTCACACGCCCAGCAGAAGCTGTGACTCTGAGCATCGTCTTTGGCAAACACTAACAGCACCTGCAACCCACACACACACATACAGAGAAACGTGCACACACACACACACACACATACAGAGAGACGTGCACACACACACACACATACAGAGAGACGTGCACACACACACACACATACAGAGAGACGTGCACACACACACACACATACAGAGAGACGTGCACACACACACACACATACAGAGAGACGTGCACACACACACACACATACAGAGAGACGTGCACACACACACACACA